TCTTTAGCTAAAAATGGGGCGGGAGATGGGTAGCACACTCAGGGAACATCTAGACTATGGCGCTATTTTGGGATAAAGGCAGTCCCCGGGTTACGGACAAGATAGGGACTGTACGTTTGTTCTTAAGTTGAATCTGTATGTAAGTCGGAACTGGCGTCAGCTGCTGCAGAAACTGATCAGTTTCAACCGCGGCTGAATCTGGACACCAGTTCTGACTTACATACAGATTCAACTTAAGTACAAACCTACAGTCCCTATCTTGTACGTAACCTGGGGACTGCCTGTAGTCACTTCCCCTCCCCCTCCCTCACTTGCTGCCTCTATCAGAAAGAGGCAGCTAGCAAGGGGGGAAGGAGAGGAGGGAAGAAGAGGTTCTTCAAAGTGGCAGTGCTGCATGGAGCCTGGGGTTAGCTGCAGATGGCTAGTGGAGGACTGCTTGAGTCCTCTGCTGGCTTCATGCTCCTTGCTGAGCTTTTGCCTTTGAAGTATAGCAACAGTTCTGGGGCTATTGCCACACTTCAAAGGCAGAGGTGCCCTTATTGACTAATTGAATAATCGATGCAAATTGCATTATCTATTTGATTAGCTATAGCTAATTCATCTAAATTTAATATCCCTACTTCTGGACCACTGTAACAGTCATACCATGGAGTCAGATTAGGTAATTTAGGTTCTCTAGTCCATCTTGCCACCCAGGCAAGCTAGAGTCAATGATAAATGGTTACTTACACCAAAAATCTCAAACATTGTGGTTGCTCTAAGTCCCACAGCCTAGTCAGTTACCCCAGATCAGTTTGGTTTCAACAGGATACTCTTATTTAGCAAATAAGTTTTTATTCTTACATGATGGACCTTTTGTCTAAGATGTTACAAATATGTAATGGTAGCAACAATGATACCAGTGGTCACATTTCAGTCATACTGTGTGTCTCTTTTCCAAGCTGAAACATCCCAGTCTTATTAATTTCATCATATGGAAGTTGCTCCATACCCTTAATTAATTTTGTTACTCTTTTCTGTACATTTTCCAGTTCTAATATCTCTTGGGATTGGGGCAGAGGAAGGGAGGGAAGTGACCAGATCTGCATATTCCAGCTATAATGCTCCCACTCTCACCAGGTTTCAGAGCCTGAACTCTAGCCCAAATGAGGACGTCTTACAGGCATACCCTCCTAGACTTCTAATTGTCACAGTTGCAGAGGAAAAGCTTGATAACCTTAACTAAATGTACAGCAAAAAGCTTAGAAACCAGACAGGAAAGAAAGAGCTCTTTTAAGTTGATTTGTGGGAACCTTACTGACTTACTCCTTGGAGTTAGCAATATTGCATAGTGATTGAAGTCCTGCAAACTTTTCATATAGGAACTTAGGCAGAGTCATTACTGAGGGTTGCCATGCTTAACTTCTAGGTGCCTTGAAAGTCACTGGGATTTACCAATCCTAAATTCAGTGCCTATGCTACCTGTACAATGAATGGGGAGAGGCAGATCCCTCAGATGGGATTCCAAAATCCAGCACATCAGGTGGTTCCTTGTTTAGGAACACCAGCATGAGGGGTTTGTGCTGAGCTCTGCTCCTGCCTTAGGGACAGGTGCCTAGCTCCAACCTGCAGGGACTGTTCCCTCTGCTTGGGATTCTCAGCTGCTGCAAACCCTATATTGGGGTTAGTAGATCTCTATTTTAGCAAGAAGTGTGAGTTTGATTAGATGAGGGTGAAAAATCCAATAATGTTTGCTTTTCTTTTAATACCAGCAAAAAAAATGATATTTTTTATGATGAGTTTCTTGATCTGATTCTAATTTTAAGCCCCTCTGGAATACTTGCTCTACCAACCCACAAGCTACTGCTGAAGTTGGACT